TGCTAAGGCTCAGCATCATTGGTCAAAAGTTCTCTTCTTCCCTAGGTGCTTAAATATGTGTGTATAAGGAAGTCTGCATCATGAGGCAACATATACTGCACATTAGTTTTTAAATTCCTCATAAATGTGGGTCCAAAAGAGATTTAACAACATGGCTTATGGCTGGATGCAGTGGCTCACGCCTATAATCCCAGCACTTTGAGAGGCTGAGGTGGGCAGACAACGAGGTCAAGAGATCGAGGTCATCCTGGCCAACACGGTAAAACCCTGTCTCTACTAAAAATACAAAAATTAGCTGGGCATGGTGGCACACGCCTGTAGCCCCAGCTATTCAGGAGGCTAAGGCAGGAGAATCGCTTGAACCCAGGAGGCAGAGGTCGCAGTGAGCCGAGATCTCGCCACTGTACTCCAGCCTGGTGACAGATCAAGACTCCATCTCAAAAAAAAAAAAAAAATGGCTTATGATACAATATACTAAGAAGTAAAAGAGGAAAAATATAAGGAGAGAACAGAAATCAAAGAGTAACAAAGCTAGGCATCCACTTTCTTTGCAACATTATATGAAGATAGATTCTTCTATCAGGACAATGAAAGCACATTTAGGCAGGATGCTTTTTTGCATCATGATATTTCTGGTTAATGCCTCTTTGCCTGGTATTTGGTTTGGGAAAAAAACAAATCAAGGCTACTGAGTTGGGGACAGGCATATACTGAAATGCAGAGTTGTCAGTGTTGTAAAATATAGAAAAGTAACAAAGAGCTTTATTTGTCATGGCTTTCATGACCTTAAAATATTGTAGAATTTTGTGTTAACCCAAGAATCCTGTATGCCACTAATAAATCTTCCACCAATCTGACAGCAGTGTAAAAACTTTTAAGAGACAAACAGCAAAATACAACCTTCACTTGTCAGTTCCTTGGTTACTAAACATCAAGATAACACGTATTTCAGAGAGCAAGGGGCTGTGGCAGAGATCACAGATAAAACGGAAAAGAAAACACAGCCCCTGTCCTCGAAAAGCTTACTTCAGGAAAATTCTGAGATTATAAGGCCTACATTGACTTTTCATGGAGTGAGACCACGAATTTCTGGCTCTAGCAACTACCAGAGGTTAACATATGCATGATACCAACAAGCTGTTCATGTGTTCTTTCAGATGGAGGGCCAGCCCCATCTAGGGCCGGCAATATCTTAATGTTTAAAAATCATAGTAAAGTACTCATATAATGTACAAGTTGCTAGAAACACAAGAAGGCTGGCAGGGAACATTCTAAAACCTGCATAAGCCATCAATGAAAATGTAGGAACATATTTGAGTTGACTATCACTATTGCATCTTCTAGAGGCTCCACCTTTAGAGGCAAATGGCTCTTTAAGTATTAAAATAAGGGTTTAATATCCTTTAAAAATAACAGTACTTGAGATGAGTGTCAATGACCCAATATCCCCCTCCCAGGTACCAAGAGGGGTCACATTTCCCATTTATCAGCAAGTCATCAGGATAGGCCAGCATCTCAATCTCAGACTCTCTTCTGTGGCTGCTTCTTGGATGGCTGAGGGGAACACTTCAAAAATGAACCAGCTAAACAAACTTCCCAGCAGCACTTGACAGAGCTACACCTATTCTTCCCATTTCCAAAGCAGTGGAGAATTAATTACCAGTTCTATGGATCTATTGTAAGTATAATAGACTAAAGAGCTATCACAGACACATTTATTGTAAAAGCACAATCCCAAGAGTGTCTAGTGGAGGGCCAAAACGATTAACACAAATGCTTTGTCAGATCAAAGATAAAACCTGCACCGCCCAATTGAGGAATGAATTAGAACAGTGGGTTATCTTTCAAATTAACCAGGGCAGTTAGTGAGGAAAATTTCATGAAAGTGTAATTCTTAGCCTTTGTGAATCCACACAGCAGGCATTCTGCCAGCTGACAAGATGATGAAATTTTCATGCTTAAAAAAAGCCCTCTTCATTTCCCAATTTAGATTAGCTAGTGTTTCTCTCCCTTTTGTGTGTGTATGTCTATTTGCTCTTCTGGAGCAGAATTTAAGGGAGGGGGAACACATATCAATTTTTCACTGTAAAATTGAGTCTTTCAAAAACATCCCTAAAAGCTTAGAGTTAAGTCTTTAATCTGCCTTTTTATGATTTTCAAAAAATACCAATTCAATTTTAACTTTATAAAAAAGAAACAACAAGGACCAGGGCATGAAATCAACTTTGAATTAAAGCTTTCTGTGCTGCCTCAAAGTCTTTCAAGACTTCATCAAATCCAGAGACAAAGCATAGAGTTGTCTTCTTCCTAAAGAAGTTAATATATTACTTAAAATATCCTGGTTCAGTGCTTTTTGTATTTCTATGTATATCAAAGTTTAAACATTATAGGAAATTGAAATTCAGGGGATACAATCATTGCTACAGAAGAGGGGCAACAACCCTCTCCTCTCCCACAAAGGAGCCAATATTTATTAAAGTATTATGTGATACAGACTGCTTCTCAGATAAACTTAAAACAAATATTTGTTATATCACATTTACTCAGTCAGTCCTCTTAATTCATGGACAGAAGGTAACAAAATATGTGATATAACTTTCCAAAATTAAAGTGATTTAGAAATATATTTTGTTACCCCACACTTTTGTCCCTTTTTTCTTGACAATCTAATTTCTTAGTCATCTAGAACTATGTTCCTTGGCAGGGTATGGTGTTTGGTCAAGTACTACATTCCATTCATCTTCCTGGAGTTCCTTCCTCATGAAGGTATCTTCCTTTCTCAGTGCAGTCTGACTTCCCCTGTAGCACTTCTAAGACTAAAATTAAAACAATATTAAGACTCTTGCCTTTATTGCACAAACAACTTTTATGTCCAGTGGGTAGTATTTTTTAAGTTGCTAAATAGGAGAAGATCATTTTTGGTAATTAGCCTCAGAGACAGTCACTTAACCTCAACACTTACTATCAGTATCCTTACCTCGGTATACTTGGTATATTAGTCTCTAACTGGATTACCATGACCATGACAAATCACACTGAACTGATAACTGTAATCAGTATCACTAGAGGCACAATAACAAAAGAAACTCAATGCCATGTCCCTCTAGGAGGAAACAGGATGGTCTGCCAATGAAGTAGAACCTAAAGGTGTAGGGGTTTTTGTACAAAAGCTCTCATCGGGAAAACATTTGAAATATTTATTTAGCATGGGGCCATAAGAATGAATAACGGATTTCTTTCTCTGCCATCAAATCACATATACTTCAGATCAGAAAGTAGAGAAATAAGTTTCTAATTTTGAGGACAGTCATGTCAATTTTTAAGCCCAGGAGTGATATATGGCCATTTTGATCAGAAATTCCTTAGAAATGTCAATCAAGTAGGCAGTCAGCTACAGAAAAACTGTTACTTAATGTTAGTGAGATGGCTGGCAGAAAGACAATTAAAGCAAATGCTCTAGAAACCTTGTGTTAAATATATGGATCCCTAAAAATAGGTTATTTCACTTCAAAAATACTTATATAACCACCACCACAACATAAACACAATTAGGTTAGAAATCAGTCTTTCAGTTAGGGCATGTTTCTAGCTATACAGAAGATCATTTTTCAGAGTACTTCCAACTTAGTCAAAACAGACTATTCGTTCATAAAGAAGGAAATAGAAGAGTTTCTTCTAGTATTAACATTTCCATGGTGAAGATCTTGATAGACTAAACACAGAGAGAAAACTCAGAATTCTTCCCAAGAGTCAAGCAAGGATCATACTCTGTTCAATGAGGCCTGTAAATGAGGAACTGAATAGTTTTGATTTGGGCTCTTCATACTAAATAAAGGCCTAAAATTTCACGTGCTGCACATTTCATCTACTGAGGAATGTGACCCCACAGATAACTTTTATTCCCATCCAACTGTTCATTAAGGGCAGCACAGGATTATTCTCTAAAATGTTTCAGATTTTCCCAAAATGGAGTCATAATGATTATTTTTTAATGATCTTCAGGCAAACTGACTTGCTTTTCTGACAAATATAAATCATTCAACACCAAAATCATAATGCTGGAACTCTGCTTTTACTCTTCATCTTAATGATCTAATAGTTGCGTTTCACATAATGAGTTCTATTTTAAAGAAGAAAATGCTGTTATATGTTGACTAATACATGAGGAGAAAGTACAGAACGATCTTTAGAAAAGTCATGGGCATTAACGAATACGTGAGCTTTTTTTTTTCAATGCGTTGCCAATGTAGCTTTTAAAAATAAGTTACAGTGAACTTTCAAGTAACAGAAAATGTGTTCAGATGACAAATGACATACTGAAACACTAAGAAAAATCAAGTGGGAAATGTGAGGGCTTTTTTTAATTTTTGAAGAGAAAAAAACTCATTCATGTGAAATGTGTTAAAAACAAAACTCTGAATAAAAGCCTTCTTTCCAATGAAGACAAATCACTGTTCTGGCATTTTTACTATAAATTTATAAAAATTAGACATTCTCTTGTGAATGCTAGACAAACAGCATTTAAATTTAAAATATATTTGATTACATCAGAAAACCAGGCTATGGAGTGGTTTAGAGTGCCACATAAACACAAACTGTTAGCTTTGTATGGGCAGTCTACTAAGATCACCACATATGATCTTAGAGCTCGACTTGCTGATAATAGACAACAGTGATTTTTTCTTCCTTTATCCAAACATCTGAGCAATCATTTAATTAGTCTTATTTAGGTAACAATAAACTAAAACATTTCTTAATTAAATTTCATTATTTAAAATACTGCTCATAAATGAAGTAGATGTAATGCCTGAGAGAAATAGCAAATAATTTGTCATGTTAATATGTCAAAATTACATACTTTATCATATATGTATTAATAGCATTTCACTAGGAATTTTTCTCAAAAGCCTTTTCAAAATGTTACAGTTTCATGAAAACCAATAAGTAAGTACCAAACCTAAATCAACTGTGCATGTAAGAATGTCATTATGGATACTTACATCGTAGTACTTTTTAATGAAACGTCTAATGTCCATGATCAATTTGTTGCTCAGTTGTACCGTAAAGGTCAGAGGTGAAGCATTACAATCGATGTTACTGCAACGATACAAGCTGGGCTCCATATCGGTTCCCTACAGAAGTCAGGACAAGTATACAAGAAGTTACTGTACGGCTATAAAAGGTTTTTTGTGCTTAAAAACTTACATGTCATCCTAGTGTTGAACATTTTTAATTTGTTTTACTGGTGAGTTTTTAACCCTATCTTCTCAATTATTTTCCTCCCAAAGATACTTTAGTCACACATACCTTCCATTCCTTGCCATCATCACAATGGAGTAACAAAGGAAAAACTCTGAAATCCCTATTTTACATTCAATACACGAGGGACTCTATGGATAAAATAATTTTCCCTCTGAAAATACCAGTGAAGTCATGTTACTGGAAATAAACCTCCTTCTTAGAGATATCGATAAAAACTTTAAATTTGCATTTACTCATTACGAACATGAAGAAAAGTAAGAGCCTTTATCACATTAGTTTGTTTTCATCTTGTCAACTTAATTTTAAAAATAAAATCTAAAAGAAGTGTAGTACCACAAAAACAGTATCACTTATTGTCTGCTTCACAAATCTAAAATTTTGGCAATTTTTCCAAAAAATGAAATGTATTTGGGAGAGGGAGGCAGGAGAAATAAAAATGTGAAAGAAATAAATATTAATATTTGGAAAAAAACATTTTGTTTTGCTGTGTTTCGTTTTAAACAAAGACAAGGCAAATATAATATATAGCAAAACTGTTGGGATTTCTGAAGCACTTGTTTTCCTTCCTGATACTTAAACATCTTGGTTTCCTGCTCCAATCTGGTACATAACCCTACCCGCCACACTAAGCAATTCCAGGTGGAAGAGATTTCAGAGCTTGACATCGGCTCTTCCACAGTTAGCCCATCTGCAAGTCGTCAAGCCTCCATGCAATTAACTATCTTATTTACAGCTGTAATGAAGCAAAACTCAAGGATTTAGCAAGTATTGCTGATCTGTGTCTGCCTCTTCCTTGCACTTGCTTCCAAAGACTGCTTTGTTTTGATTCAAAAAAATGCAAAACATCTGCTGTTTGTCCAAATTAACTTAAAATAATTACTTTTAATTTAGATAAAGGGTGTCTTTTCTTTCAGTCTCAAGGTTTTACACAGTTCTGCTGCCTATTCCTTTGCCAATGGCTAGTCTATGCATAACACTGCAGTGGAAATCAAGTAAATTGGCCAAGTTTCAAGCTCTGATCCAAGGTCAATAATACATTTTTTGGCAGTACTTCTTGAAAGAAATGTCTCCCTGTGACTTTTTAAATGTCTAATATGCAAAGACAGCAGAAAAGATAATAAGAGTACCTTTGCAAAATGGAGGTAAGGGGGGGGGGATGTGTAAAGACAAACAGAAACTTTCTCAAAACACTTAGTTCCCATTAACTTTATTTAAGATAAAGAAAAATATTGCTCTAAGTCCTAATAGATGGGGGGGTTGACAGTAGGGCAATAGAGGTTACTAATTAAGAAATTATAATAAAAATACTTAAGATAATTTAGAATTTTTAAGGGATTCCATTTAAAAACCAAGGTCAAGCACTCTAGGAAGCCAAAACAATATTCAAGCACATTCAGTTCAAAGTTTTCAAGCAGAAACAAAGTAAGCTGTGAAGGTAGATTTTACATGATGCTAAAATTCTTTGAACACATGAAAGCAGTGTGGGTGTGTTTATTTTGCCCTTTTTATATACTCCATAGTGGGGGAAAGGGGCAAGGCCTTTATACAAGTTCACTCACAAAAAGACAAACAGAAACAACTAACCGAACCATCAAAGACATTATCATAAATATTCTCAGTTCCACATGTAGGGCATCGACATTTGAATCTTTCACAGTCCCTGTATTTCTCTTCATCAGTGAGCTGTGCTGGGCCCCCAAGTAGAGCATCATTCTCTTCATCTTTATGATAATGATGAACTCTAAATTGAGTGGGGTCAAGTCCTATTAATGAAAAAGAAAAAAACAAATTCAGAAAAGTATTCCAAAAATACCCCAAAGCAGAAAACTCTCACAAAAAAGATTTTAAATTCATGAACTTACACACAACCATTTGAACTCAAGAGCACATGGACAAATGACTTCTCTTTTTACAAGAGATTACTTCATAAATAAAACAAGTAACTGCAACAAACGCAACACAGAAATATGCCAGTGAACACTTGGGTTTGGAAGCAACTACTTCTACAGGATGTTTTTATTATTCTCTTAAAGTTACAATGAAAACCTCAAATAAATATGTACTTTTATTAAGAAATTCTCTTAAAATCGAAGTGTCACAATTAAAACTGAGAATAAAAACCCCATTAAAGAAAACAGGTTCACTGCCATTACAATTCCTTCAAGTGCAGACACAGCTAACCCTGATTTCAATGCAGTGGTCGATTTCATCTTGGCTCAGTAGTTAACAGCATGTAGGTTGCAATCTAATTCAGTGGTTAAAATTCAGTAGCAGCATCTGAGACAAAACGCAACATGGTTTTCTTGATGTTCGAAATTCAGAAATTTAAAGTATATGCAAAAACAGTGAGTCTACAGATTCTATAGGCCAAAATGTCCCTGAGAATCCTGAAACCAAATATACCTTCCATATTTCAATCAAAACAACACAAGAAATCAATCAAGGCATGTTTACGCTATTTTGTTTCTACAAACTAATGAAAGAAAAGAAACGTTTTTAGGCTACCCAATTTAATTTACCCTTAGTCAAAATATGTGTGTCAAAATTTACTATTTGAATTTATACTTAAAAATAATTATTCTACACTGTTTCTTACAATTTTAGGGATTGCTAAGGGATTGCTCTCAAGAAAACATTGTTAAGAGACAATATTTCTATCTTTTGGAAATCTAAGGAAAAGCTTTTGGAAATCTAAGGAAAACTATCTTATTTTAGTATAAAGGTAAATGAGTAATATAAAACAGTCACTGAGCCAAAAGCTCACAAATATAAAAAATATCTAAAAATTGTTTTAAATTTATCAACAGCTACATAGGTAGATAAACCTAACAGATGCATTCAGAATTCAGCGACAGAATCCTAAATCCTATTTGGTCAGTTGTCAAGTGATATCTAGTAATTATAAAACACTGGAGGCTAACTCTTCATAGTTGAAAGGGGTCAAACAAAGAATAAGACAACTGAGACACAGAGTCTCAGTTTTCTCAGCTGCAAAATGGAGGTAGCATCACTGATCATATACTTTTGAAGTTTAAACTGGATAACGGAGAACAAACAAAGTTCAATGCTGCCTACTGCTTGGCAAGCACTGAATAAATGTCATTTGAATGAAAAAATAAAATAGTGAACGAACATCATTTAATTCAGACTATACTCACTCAAGATTATGCATTTAGAAAAATATATGAGACATCTTCATGCTGCATATGAAGTTAATAGCTACTCTTTGTAGGAATTAAAGTATTTCCTAAAGTGGTAGTATATGATAAAAACAAAGAATACACATTCAGAACAATTTGAAAAGCTGTTCTTCGTTAGTGACATAAATTACATTAACACGAGCCACTTGTCACCAAGACACTATACACTTTTATTTTACAAGTTACCTAACCCCTAAGAGAAACAGCAAATTAGAGAAGTATGTGGGAATACCTACACCCTCACATTTAAAGCTAGAGAGTCAGAGGAATTGAGAGAGACCACGCCCATGAATGAGGCCATTTATTCTCTGTAGTGAAGGGTAACTGTTGCTAATTCAAACTCCAGTTGTGAATCCAAGTATTCACATAATGTCTTGCTTTATTTGCAATTATAGGAAAGCAGCTTCACTTTTACTCCGACCCTATAACTATTAATCAATTTCCCAGGCCAACACTAATCAAAAAGAAAAATAAGCAACATTTTTCTAAAAGGCAAGTTTCTTTCACAGTCCAAAAATAAAGCAACAATGCTGGGTTGCACATATACAAAATTGGCCAGGCTATAAAAAGGAACCAAGTTGAGCTACTCTCTACCCCACCCCACCAGCCATGGCTCACTTGGCACGCCTGAGTGCATGAACCTGCAAGCTCTGACCCTGGACGGCCTGCCTACAGAGTAAGCCAAAAATGAGTGTGGGCCATCTTGCTACAGAGTCATGGAGAAACATGTGCCTGAAACTTGTAATAAATATCAGGTTCTACGAAATGTCCACTCTAAATATCCATTTCTACAAATCACTCAATCTTCTGGAGGCAGTAACAAAGCTAACTGGCTTAGCTAATTACTTCATATTTATTCCCAAGCTGGTTTTATTTTTCAGGGGAAGGGGCTTCAATCTCAGTATCAGTACTCTCTTGGTCATAGTTCAATGCTAAAATTTAGAAATATAAAGGGAGACGAGACCGTAATGAGCTTAAAATATGAGGTATATAATAATCCTTGTACAAGTTACTTAAATACCAAAATGCTGTTTAAAAAGTGATTTTCTTGGGAGGGCAGTTATAAGTTCAACAGGCAAACCAGAGAGGGCTAAATTAAATCATTATAAGAAAACATAAAATGTCATGTTAAAAATATAAGGATCATTGCTGCTGGAATCTTTTTTGAAAAGCTAAAACAAGCCCCAAACTTATTAAACATATACATTAGTTTTTCCAAATTCTCAGAAAACTGGTAATAGCAGCTTATTTCAAAGTTTCAGTAGACTTTAAAGTTTTACTGCTTGCACCCTAAACTCATTAAGGCTGGAGTGAAACAAGAAACAAGTATCTGGTGCTGCCACCTAGAGGTAGAGATTTAAAATTTTTAAATGTGCAAAACAGAGCAGCTACATGTAATTCCATTTTTAATTGTTGCCACTCCAAAATTAAACACTTCTGTCAAAAATGACATTAAAGTAACATTGTTATTACTGCACTTGCCCTACAAGCATATACACTGTATAATTAATATTACACTGCTTACATTAGTCTTTGAACAAAAGATGCAAAACTGAATCCCAAATACTTTACTGCTTCTACCGAAAGCTTTCTCTGAACAACCGGCTTAAAGGAACAAACTTTGTGCCCCATTTGAAAAAAGTAACTTCCATTTATTTTAGGCTAGCTCTTGACAGGTGACTTAAATCATTTGGTGGGGCACAGAATAAAGGAAGGAGCAGCCTGCCTGGGCTTTGCAAAACCAGTTATCTGGAGGAAAAGCAGCTGTGGTTTCCCCCAGAATAGGCTGAGATGATGTACACTTTAATTCAATTATGTGGCTTGTAGTGATAGACTCATTTGTGCTGGGGTTGAGGGTACAGAAGAGGCAGTGGAATGAAATTAAAATACTGTCATTTATAATTAGAAAATTTCTAGGATCTCACATTATTTTGGCAACAGGATCAAAACTCTCATGTTTCAAGAAGTATTTATAGAAAGTAACATCATAGGCATCGGTGTGGATGAGTTTAGCAGTACTGTCTTTACTTAAATCACCATAGTCTTATCACACACACCCCCAATGTGACACTTAGCACAAAATTATTTTTCTACCATTGCGCTTTCTAACCATTGTAAATTATACCTGTTTTTAGAATGTTCACCTGCCCCCACTCCCAAGTTTTTAAACTGTTCATAACTTCAGGCATACGATTATTAGAGAGGCTGATGCATTTAATCAAATACTTTCTTTCCTTCAAAAGACAAGGTCTCTATTAGTGCAACAGCAAATAACTACAGTAATATGTTCATGCAACTGGGGAAGAGGGAAAATCCACATAAATGAAACTCCAAATGAGTAAAGGGAGTAACTGATATTTATAAGCAGTGTTTGTAATATAGATCATTTACTCTATGAGGGAAGCTAATTAATAGAATCCTATTGAGTGAAATTTTTTTGTAAAAATTTCTTAGAGGAAGTAAACCATTTATCTTTTGCATGGATCTAGGCTTTTATTTATCTAGACATCTTAGAAGACAATATGCAAACCGAAAATTTAGTATGATTAAATAATTTTCAAATGGTGAATGCTATATCCACAAGAATGCTCATAGTAGCTTTTTTCATAATAAATTTATTCAATATTTATTCAAATATTGAAACACTCTACATGTCCATCAACTAGAGAATGGATAAACCAGTATAATCTACCATGAAATACTACTCAGCAGTGAAAAAGAGTGAATACTGATACATGCAACAAGACAGATGAATCTCAAAAATACCATGCTAACTGAAAGATGTTGCACACAAAAAGGGTATATACTGTAGGAAACCATTTATATGAAATTCTTGAATAGGCAAAACTGACTTATGCTGATAGATTTCAGATGAGTGATTGCTATTGTGACAGAGGTGCTGACTGGGAAGAGGCACAAGGGAACATTCTGGAGTGATGAAAATGTTCTGTATCTGTGTCTGGATGACTGATTGTATAATACTCAAAATTTTAGCATTTTGTGGTAAATTATGTGAATTATACTCTTTAAAAAGCATGCCAAATAGGAAAAGATGCTTGTGTAGGTTGAACATCCCTAATCCAAACATCTGAAATGCTCCAAAATTTGAAACTTTCTGAGTACCAACATGATACCATGAGTGGAAAATTCCATACCTGACCTCTTGAAATGAGTTGCAGTCAAAACTTTGTTTCATGCACAAAATTATTTAAAATAATGTATAAAATTGTCTTCAGGCTATAAGATATATATAAAACACAAATGAACTTCATGTTTAGACTTGGATCTCATCTCTAAGATAGCTAATTATCTATATGCAACTATTACAAAAATCCAAAAAAATCCCCAGCACTTCTGGGTCCCAAGCATTTCAGATAAGGGATACTCAACCTATAATATATACTTCCAAAAGACTCATAATTAGAACACGTGGGAAATGCCTGCAAATCAGTAAGAAAAAGAGAAGCCAACAGAACAGAAAAAGACTTGGACAGCTCACGAAAGGAAGTATCACAATGGCCAAGAAGCATGTGAAAAGGTGTTCCACTTCATTAGTCATCAAA